ACACACACACACACACACACACACACACACATATATATATATATATATACGCATATATACACACATACACACACACTATATATATATATACATACATATATACATACACACACATATATATATATATACATACATACATATATATACATACATAAATACATATATATATATATATATTTATATACAAATGTATATAAATCTATATTAATGAACATAAGTGAAATATGTAAGGAAAATTATACCCACACTTAATGGTTCGAAATGAGGTGTACCTGATTACAAGCCGTGTACTACACACATATCCATCTATACCTTCAACAAGGCATTACAACTAACTTTATTAGTAAACGCTAAAAACCACTCCTAACTCAGCACGTTGTATGCTTTTGTGGCCTACCCCTCTCTCTCCGCGGCTTCCAGCGCGTGAGCACGGTCTCTCATCATCGTTATCGCCTCATGAACACTGGCAGTGCCTGTGAGTGTTAATGGATAGTCATATAGGTAACGTTTGAGTGTTAATAGACAGTCATACGGATAACATATGGGTGTTCATAGACAGCCATACGGATAACGTATGAGTGGAGGTACGTGCGAGCGTAGAGCAGCGCTCCCACGTACATGTGGTGCTAACGGGAAATCTTAGTATTAAGCGTATGCGTGGCTAAACACGGTGTGGCTTAACGTGATGGGATATTTTATTTTGGCCCAGTCGCAGTAGCGCATGGCATTTACCACAGATACCTACATGCACCAAGTACTGGGAATAAATAACTCGACAGGTCAAATGGAGGTCTTAGATTTTTAACGCAATCGGCGTTAAATGAACAGTAACATACATGCGGCCATACCAACGATACCATATCAGCCAGACATCCAAAAAGCAATCCGTCGGAAAAGCCAACCACTCATGCATACAAACACACAGTACGAGGGATGACCCGTCTTTACTAGTCTAAACATAGACGTTTATTCGCAAAACGAAAACGATAAAACTATACGTTCTTAGCGGAATAGGATGTGTATGCATTCGTGCGGACAAGACCTGGTCAAGGACAAACTATAAACACCGTAAGACACAACGCCTCACACACCCCCAACGGCATCCCCACAAAGGCAAAACGTTCCGTCGTGGTTGTATAGGGAAGACACGGGACACACGACTTACCGTGGAAGCCGTATTTCATCTCGATAGAGTCGTAGTAGCGAATGACCTTGTCCACGTACTCCTTCTTGGTCTTGGCATTGCGACTGGGATGGAAGCTAGCTCTGAAGCCGTTGAGTACTATATCACGCAGAGTCGAGGGGCCTAGTTTGAAGTTCTTGACGGCCTGGATATATTCATTCAATAAGATGGAGCATTGTAGATACATATAACAATAATATTATAACAATAATAATAATAGTGTATTCATCAAAAGGAAATAGCATTTATGCAGTCATATACATTCAATGAGATGCAGCATTAAAGATATATATATATATATATATATATATGTATATATATAGATATAGATATATATGTATATATAAATATGTACATATATATATATAAATATATATAATAATAAAAATCAGCATATCATTGTTTATCTAAAGGACATAGCATTTATGAGAACATGTGCTATCAAGCGATATAACATTATACACAAAAACACGCACACACACACACACGCACGCACACACATATATATATACGTATACATATACATTTAATCAGCAATTCAAGACATCCTCAAACATAGCATATATAGGGGCTTGTATATTCAATGGGATATAGCATCCGAAAGAGTATATGTATTTAAAGACACCTAGCAATTGAAAGAATATATGCATTCAAAGCGATATATGCGTTTATCGGAATAGATGAATTCAACGGACTAAGTCCGAGGGTATCTATAGTATTTCAGTACGCGAATCAGCGTACTGGAATTCATTTCCGCATACGACCGCGCGCATTGTAATAGATTTCATCGAAATAAAGCGGATGAAACAACAACCGTGTCCATTTGCATGTGAATAGGACTATATATATATATATATATATATAATAAATATAATAAATACGTAAATTACGTTCCTTTACTA